AAAAAATACCGTAAGACTCTGTATTTCCATTTTATAATAATAAAGAGACGTTTTCTCCTAGAATTTTGCCCTTTTGATTTGGCTGGGACCTGGATCTAGGAGTAACGTACAGGAGTGTTTCTATTGGAAACAATTAGGACAGCCACTGGCGAAATAAATCTACAAACATATATAAATATAAGAAAAAGAATAATGAAGGAAACATAATGACAATAATTTATTCTGAATAAGTATATAAGTCACAAAAGGCCAGATCTTATTGTTTCATATGATGTGGTCTAATCATCATCATGGTAACAATACTAATAATAATAATAGTGATTTATTCCCAAATAACAACGTGTTCCATCAGGTATGCCAGTTTACAGGCACGATCAAACTGTTCGAACTGCTTACACATTTGCTGTAATAGATTGTTCATTTGACAACTATTACGTATGGTGATACCGGTCTGCTTTACCGTACTGAGGATATTACAATGGTGCTAAGAACGAGCATTTCTTGCGCAGAACAGTTTAATTACATATTTTCATGGGTTAAAACAAGTAAGGAAATCAGTGATTAAGTTTGAATAAATTGGAATGTAGCATCAACTAGTATTAACGCTTGAGTGACTAAATTATTCATGAAAATCTTCTGTATTGCATACATGATTACGAGGATAAACATAGGATGAGGAAGTAACATTCTCTATAGCGCGAATTAATAAAACAGACTGATCTTCTGATTCAAGCAATATTAATTCAGATACTGTTCTGAAAATGAAGTTCATTAGTTGATAATCCTAAAATACTGATTGAACGTAAAATATTAACTATATTTTGAGTGCTACCATCAGATGGTTTCAGACTTTACTTAAGGATAAAAAATGGGGTTTTAGAATGTTGTTACTAGTCTAGGCGCATTATTATTAGTCTACATCCATTTACTATTTTACTGAAAGCAAGACATACATGAAAATCCAATAGAACTATTTTTGCCTGCTTATAAATTGTATTGACTCACACAGTTCATAATAAGTATCTTTGTTCTATATGTACTAGTCATAGAACACACTCATCTGAAGACATTTTGACATTCATCGTCCTCATATCGAGTCTATCAAGGTCTATAAAGTCTACTATGATTCAGGTAAAAGAATAGTTTACAATTTCGGGTTAGATTCTACTCAAACTTTTTAACTTCACCAGGGACAGTGTTAGTGTAATTTATCTGTAAGTAAGGTGGTTTTATCAGTAGGCCCAGTAATAAAATGATCAGGCATTTAGGTTTCCTACGGTCGGAATTGCGAAATGGGAAATACAGCCGTATGCATAATTAGGACGTTTTCTGAGAAGCAGCAATCATTGATGCATCCATCAAGAGAAGGGAATAAACTACCAAAGCAGATCCATCCTTATTCGTTTGAATTAACCCCCGACTTTTATTTTGAGCACCACTTGACTGAGCTGCATACTGTTGTGGTTTTGTATATCTTTCGGATCATGATGGAAGAATGAATTAACCACTTCAAGATCATCTGCATGTGGAAGAGGCTGATAGAATTAATCGCAAATATCAGTTGTGTAAGCTAAGGGACCTAAGAAAAAACCTTGTATTCCCCCCCATTTTAACAGAGACAGCATCCTATAGGGAGGACTTTATTTGGACTTTTGATGTCAATGGCTGAGGAAAGAACAAAACCAAGTAAGATGAGGGTTTCTGATCCAATAAGATAGGAGTTCGCTTATATGAAGCTGGCAGAATGTATCAATGGCATCCTTAAGACTGTTGCCTGAGAAGAAGGTATTCTATTCAATGAATGCTACTAGGATATGCATACGTTCACAGTCAACGTGTTTGAAGGTACTACTTTGACTAATTTTCTGTGTGAGATGGTCAAACGAGGAACGGATAACAGGAGCACCATCTGCCATTTTTGTGGTCACTACTGTCAAATTCATTTAGTACTTATATAGATAGTTAGATGATATCTCTACAAAACATTAGATCTATTATATTATCGTTTCTTGTAGTGAGCCCTACTTAAAACTTAACGCAGTCACTCAACACTTTTGACATCATTCAAGCTCATGAATCGTTTACTCAGTACGATACACCTAAACTTATTAGCAAGGTTAACCGATATACAAGATGAATAAGAAGCAAAATAGTTTGTACTGGTTTGGTGTAAAGCAAAACAAAAAAGTAATCATTGGTTGATGACAACACAACGCAATGATCAAGATACTATGAACCTGAACAAGAGGAAGCCATTTCAAAACTCATTTACTGTTTGAAATTACTTTTACCCACATTAAGAGTTGCACAGATCATAAATTGCTGGAATAGTGTGTGTCCATTTTCATCCACATTAATTTCGTGCCTTGATATAATAGACTGTCCAATAAAAGTAGCCAACCTGTGGTTCACAGGAAATTTTATCAACCAGGAACCAAGCTGAGATTCTCACAAAGCAAAAGTACATATAGCTAGTCATATCAGCCAAGATCTTGAAGGTTTTCACATAACAACAGGTCATGTAAGTATGCAAAAACTTGAGAACCATGTCAACCTACACACGCGAAACCCTGATTAGGTACTTGAAATTCGGAATGGATGCTGTCAATCAAACAATCCAAGGCCGTGCAAAAGTTTCGCGATCCGGTTCAAAGGTGAACTTCGCTTGTCCTTGTTGCTGATTCTTTCTGATCAAATAACTTTTAGTTAATCAAGAAACTATCATGATCATCAGTGTGTGTATTAGGGAGGTTTTGATGGATTTTCATAACAAATGTTTTACGCCTTCAATACAAGTCTTCACGCCATGGTTTTAATTAGAGTCTATAACAGCCGCACTAAAAGAAAGCTATTAAGGTTTCTACTAGTGATAAACCCTTCGTGAAATAGTTTCTCGCTACTAATTCCAGAGCATCACTACACTTATTGTAGAATCACATGAAGAATATAGTCATTTAAAAAGAAATTTGCCAAAATTTCGATTCGGATCACTTACTACGTATGAATATTTCTCTTCGTAACTTAATGCAGATGAGTATTGGACATTGATACTTTTAAGTGTTTAGAATAATCTTGTTTAATATTGCCGATTGACCTTCCACGTTTTGGATTCTTTGTGAGTTTCTGTAGTAGGCTTCAGGTTTGTTTGGATTTATGGAATAAAATCAGAACTGACGAACCATAGTTGTATGACGTTTTTATATATCTTAAAATATTCTCTTGTATTTGCTCATGGAAAGTATGCTTGCCCATGCATACTGCTCTTTGCAATTATATAACAACGCTGTAAGTATCCTGAAGTAACAGCTGACAAACTACTACAATACACATTAAGTTATTGACGGAATAAAAGCAAATAATACCACTCAGTTTTCTGTAGTTGTTATTAAACAAACTTCATTGGCAGCAAGTAAATAAGACCCAAGAATAATTTCAGTCGCGTATGTACATTAGTTCACTTTATTCGCATTAGAAGACCATGAAATTCCTAAACGCTCCAAATAACCCTTAAAGAGAGTCAAATCTTGATCACTTAGTTTTCTATATTGTTCCTCGCTCTGTTTCCGGTCATATTTTCAGTACTTTACATCAGGTAGTATTTAACTATTTTCATTCTGAAGTATTATTGATAGCTTTTTAGCCGTTTTTCTACCTTATGGTTATTTTTTAAATAGGCATTCCAAAAGCACTAATTGACTATTAGATCAAAGACATGGGGGACTGGAAAGGGTGTTAAAGCTGACATAAAACGATAGTTAACCATTTATTTGTCCATTTTCAACTAGTTTCCTTCCATGAAATATGTATTTTGAAAACAGTGTATATATAAGTTGGTCTAATCTTACAAGCTCTTTTAAGGTTACAATCGACCAGTGGCGTACGGATTCATTTTCAACACAAAACCATGGTCTTAATGTTCATTATTAAGCCTTCGTTATTAACATTTTAATCGGTATCAAAATCATGTTCGTTAATATCTCACCTACTGCTAATTGGTAAATGAATTAGGTTGAATTTCTATGAGCCACAGTATTCTTAGTATGTAATAACTTACCATACGTATAAATTACGTAAATATACATTTCACAGACATATGTTATGAGACGATCTCTCCACATCTTTTTTAACGTCTCGGCTTTGACAACTGACTATGTGGAAATTACTATCAAGAGTAAAATCTGTGATGCACTGTGATTGATATACCAAAGTGATACAACTGAAAGACATATATCGAACCTTAGCTAGTTACATTGTGTCAAAACGTAGCATTTCTTCCATGCGATTACCGTTTAGTTTAGGAAGGAAATAAGAGTGAGTAGTGAGGGCTGTCATACATACTTTGAAAGAGCCCAGTTTTTTAGTCAAATAGCAGTTCCTCACGCATTCTAAATTTGTACTCATGATTTATCATACAGAACTAAATTGACAGTAGCACTACTAGTAGTGAAAACAAGCACAGGAAACTTTTCTTATATTTCATTACCTATCTTGCTTACAATAAGATTATCTACTTATTTGTCATGGCACACCAAGTTCAGAACTATACTCAATGAAAAATATCCTAGTGCAGGCACAGGAAGTAGCTCATGCTTATAATGCGGAATTACATCAAATCTTACTACTGTAAAAGAAACATCATACTTATGAATTGCCTTGGCAGGATTTGAGTATACTGTATATTGTCATGTAACGAGATGATCCCGTTCAGAAATCTTATCGTGAATAATGAACCTTCATTCCTCAGATTTATTCATTGAATTTCCTGCTCAACAACGTAAGGATAATATAGTTTGTGGAGTTTACTAACTCTTGGTATTAACTCTTTGTGTTCTATGAAATTCTCAGCTTCTACATTCCTCCTAATCTCTACCTTTCTCCTTCTAAATTTATCTTACTGAATTATACTTCTCGAATCATATCTTCGCTCCCTAATCTTCTCCATTACTGCTAATACTTCTATTAATGCTACCACTCTTGGATTCGAACTGAGAGTTACGTCTCTGTGCTGAAGTGGTATGGCAACCTGAACTGATGTACTTACGTACGAAGTTCTGTGTTGTATTTGTCTGTCTGTCTGTCTGATTCACCTAAAACATCGAATTTGTAGGATTTTTGAAGAATAGAATGACTTTAGCCCAGTTTATGTTATAAGTAGAACTGAGCCAATAACTTTGAAAAGAATTGAACTTTACTACTAGTCATTATTTCTGATACAATACATCTGAGTCCAGGCTTTCTGAGAAAATAAAATAGACAAAGTGCTACTGTGTTGTATTAAATTTCAGATTGTCAGAAAGCCAACTCAGAAGTGTTGCTTAGTGCTGATCATGTAGATATCAGGCTCCATTCTCCTAAATTACCCATAACTTTGGAAGTAGTTTGCTCTGAAGTTCATTCGGTTGCAAGATAAATAAATGGTGGCTGAACATATACCTAAATAGCTACAAAAACAAATGAATTCCAGCAGTCAAACGATATCACAGGATAGGCGAATTTCTTTCTCCACTGGAAAACATTCTGTTAATATAGCTCATAAAGTTATTATCAAGTCAGCCTTTGTAATGTTATACATAAGTGTTCAAGGGATTATACTAAGGTTTATTGAAGCCTCAGATATACGAAAACTGAAACCCCCTTTATGTGTATAAAAACAATTTTTTTCGTACACTTGACCTACGATGGTATTACTAATTTATTATCAAGCATAGTTTTTACAACATTTACTTTATTATTATCTCTACTCCCCTCCTAATTTAAGATGACCCCTTATTTTACCATATACAATGTCGCAACAAGTATATATGTGATAAAATTGTTCAAAATGTATTGCGAAAATATCATAGTTCTAATAACCTCCCTGTTATCCTATTATCTAAAGGTCAAGAAAATTACTGCGTGCCGTGACAAAAATCTGAGACCTATACATTCGTTCTGATTTATCTCCTACTTATTTGCATTTATTTGAATATATATAAACATTGGCTATTGGAGCGGGACCAGAGAACATTACAACAGAGGCAATGAAAGCAGACGTGGTAGCAACTGCGAAAATATTACACATTCTCTTCAACAAGATTTAGTAGGAATAACAAGTACAATCAGACTGGAAAGAAGGATACCTCATCAAAACACCAAAGAAACGCGATCTCAGTGAGTGTGGAAACTACAGAGGCACCACTCTTCTCTCAATACCAGGCAAAGTCTTCAATAGGGTGTTGTTAAACGGAATGATGAACTTCGTAGACACCTAATTTCGAGATCAACTGGCTGGATTTCGTAAGGATCAATCATGTACTGACCGAATCGCAACATTACGGATCACTATGGAACAATCAGTCGAATGGAACTCATCACTCTACATCAACTTTATTCACTATGAGAAAGCATTTGATAGTGTGGACAGGACAACACTATGAAGGCTTTTACGACATTACAGCGTGCCTGAGAAGACTGTCAAAAACATACGGAATTCTTATGATAGAATAAACTGCAAAATCATGCACAGAGCAGAGCTGACTTACTCGTTCGAGGTGAAGACCGGTGTCAGCCTAGGTTGCTTACTCCCACACTTCCTCTTGCTCCTGGTGTTCGACTGGATTATGAAGACATCAACATCTCTTCTCAGAGGAAGTACATAATGTAGTGAACACCCAGGATGCATCTGGACGATCTAGACTTTGCGGATGATCTGGATCTTCTATCACACACGCAACAACAATTGCAAGAGAAGACGACCAGCGTATTGACAGCCTCAACAGCAGTAGATCTCAACATACACAAAGAGAAAAGCAGCATGCTTCAACTAAATCACTCCTGATGGTGATGCCTTGGAGGACAGTTATACTTTTACATATGTGGTCAGCATCATCGACAGTCAAGGTGGATCCGATACAGATGTGAGGGCGCGTATCGGTGAAGCAGCGGCCGCATTCCTACAATTGAAAAGCATCCGGAACTCCAAACAACTATCAATAGACACCGAAATCAGGATTTTCAATACAAATGTCAAGACAGTTCTGTTGTATGAGGTGAAAACTTGGAGAACTACCAAAGGCATCATCCAAAAGGTACAAGTATTCAGTTTTCTATGCAAAATTCTTCGGATCCGTTGGCTAGACACGATCAGCAACAACCTACTTCGGGAATGAACAAACCAGATTCCAGTGGAGGAGGAAATCAGGAAGAAGCGGTAGAAGTAGATAGGACACGCTACGGAAAGCACTCAACCGCATCACAAGACAAGCCGTCACTTGGAACCCTCAAGGTCAAAGGAAAAGAAGAAGGTCAAGGAACACAGTACACCGAGAAATAGCGAAAGACATGAGAAGAATGAACAAAAACTGGACAGAACTGGAAATGGAAGCCCAGGACAGAGTAGGTTGGAGAATACTGGTCGGTGGCCTTTGCTCCATTGGGGGTAACAGGCATAAGTAGAAAAACTGGCTATGGGGATTTCGGTCACTTTGTTCATAAGTTTTTTTCTTATACTTTTCATTATATTCAATCAGTATTTTATTTGTCAGTGATTTCGTAGACTATTCTCTCGTTTGATACCAATTTTTAGTATTATATCCGAAAGGTCATTTACCACTGCTGTCAATTTTTATTAGCACCTCTCATAATCCTAATACACTTCTCTGTCAAATTAATTAGGAAACAGTCATTAAGCATTGCTGCTTTAGTCCAAGTAAACGGTTTATATTCAATGAATAGCTTTCCGTTCTTGCACATAATGAAGACAGATGCACATATCTACTGATTATATTGTTGCTTTGTACGATTGTTGATCTCATCCTAATATATGGTTAAAACGGCTGTTTTGTCTTAACATTTGCAAATTCTTTTCCATCAATTCAGATCAAAACCTTAGTAATACCTTAAGCTACACCATTGAAGGATTTTCTTCACTTCGTCCTACGAATAGTCGATAAATCTATACAGTCCTACTAACCCATCTTGGTATTCACCACCATGTTTATTCAGTCTTTAGTCATCTGTTTATTTATTAAGCTAGGAAGCTCGAATTTTAGTGGTTTGCCTCACTCCACTATAAACTCATTAAACTTAAGTCTATTCATGGTTCACTCTACTCAGTATCATCTAATAAATGTATTTATAAATTCTTCACTTCTAGTTCAATGTCTTTTTGTGAATCGAATGACAAACCGTACTTGAGAAGTTACATTCACCTACAAAACCATGATAACAAAGACTTAAAGATACGTATTATGCAGTGGAACATGCTTGCTCAAGGTTGGTCCCTAGTTTTAGACCATAATTTTTTTCTCATAATACAGGTTTTATTCCGTTGGATGAATTCATATACTGCCCATGTGAAATGCTATCATTTGAACGTAGATGTAAATTGATCAGTGAGGAGATTCTGCGTTATGACCCAGACGTTGTTTGTTTACAGGAAGCAGACATAGTCAAGGACATAGTAAAAAGTCTCAATGCGAGTAGTGGGAAAAATAATTATTCGTTTTATTTCCTACCAAAGTTATCTTCTCCTTGTTTGATGGTTAAAAATAATCACGGACCTGATGGACTTGCTGTTATTTATCGGTAAACACTTTTGTTTTCAACACTGACGTTTTCAACAAATAGGAATGACAATTACGAACTGATAAAATGTGAAAAGATTTCTCTCAATGAAGACGACTCACGTCATGCTCTTTTTTGTCATTTCACATCCAAGATTGTTGGGCACATGAACAAGAGCTGCTGTAATATATACCTAATATGTCTTCACTTGAAAGCTAAGGAATATTGCTCTGAAATACGGAGAAAACAAGGAGAGAAGCTTGTTAAATATTTAAATTCATTTATTAAGGATATTTCCTCCACCTCTGTACCTGTAAATAACACTGTACTTCCACCCATTTTTATTTGTGGTGATTTCAATGCTGAACCCACAGAACCAGTAATTAATATTTTACGAAATTCCTATTTGGATTCCAACGCCCTGTACAAACTCACAAGTGCCTATTATGTAGCGGGTGGTTGTAAAGAGCCTGAGTTTACAACATGGAAAATCAGAAAAAGCAAACGAATTGTAAATCTTACCGAAGACTGTCACACAATTGATTATATTTGGTACTGTGATCAATTATGCACTTTATTAGGTGTTTGGTCTATTCCATCCAAGACTGAAATCGGTCCGAATGCACTACCATCAGCTATATTTCCATCAGACCATATGAATTTAATTGCAGATTTCAGTTTACGTTTATGTAAGTAGTATGTTGCCGTCTTTGATCTATCATCTTTTTTAAGGTGAACATTAACTTCATCATATTTACTGCTTTAATTGGTTGTTAACTTTGATTTACACTTAGTTTAATATGGCTACAAGTCAATTTACTAAGTATGGATATCTATTTAAATGGAACCATGAAATCAAATACTTATTTGGTTTACTGAAATTTCATTTTCGTGATGTTTACTAAATAAATTTTGTAAATATATTTCGATGATTTATTTCTCCAAATCATAACTTTAAAGTTTCATTGTTTGATTACTTAACTTTGACTATAACAATAGTTTCTTCGAATGCTATTTATTTTACTTTAAATATTCTAGTTAATTAAGTTAAATATATCGTCATTTCACTAAAGGAAGTTATATCATCTCCTTTTTCTTCAATAACTAAATTGACTTTGATTCACATCTTAGTTTTACAAGTATTGATAAGTTTATATTCATTTAAGGAAGAAATCATAATATATGTAGTGGTAAGATATGGAATTAGTGTTCTGTATTTGATCTTTTCAGAATATCTATATATAAATGTAGCCTATCCCACTAGGTTCCCGATTAATCATACGCATCGCTTGAAGTATGGATGCATATTCTCGGTTAAAAAATAGTTTGCGCCTAAAGACACTAGTTTTAGTGTACTGACATTTCTTACAAAGTTCGAGTAGAAGAAAAAGAATCCTTACAGTTGGTTAATATTATCTAGTTTTGACTGACACTTGAGGGCTGTCACATTTACCAAACTGAAGCCACTGCTATTAATTGATGGTTGTAATAAACATTCTGACGTTAGTATATACGATCTCAAGACTGAAAGTAAGAATTATTGCATTTAATCGAAGCTGATGTTGTTGTTCTTGTTTAGAAAAATTTATTTATGGTACTAGAACAGAAATCACAAACAACTTTAATATGGCGTCCGTCAGTTAATCGAGTACATGTAACGCTAACATGTAACAAGAAATTGTTCGATGATATGTTTCGGTTTCCAATTATTACTGAACACGATGAATCATTGCATGACACTTAACACTGGTACAATCTTCAGTGAAATCTTTGATTTTTGTCTCTAATGACCAATCTCTAAATTATAGAATCATGTTTAAGTATGGTAAATCCAGTCGAAATAACCATAAATACTAGTACTTGGTTGTAGAAGATAGGAATGATAGAAGTAGACTTTAATGAGTTTGAATTAATCTGAATATTTGAGTTGTCATTATGTTATTTATGGTTGTACTATCATGATTATTCTATCAGTTATATAATTATTTAATTTTATAATTATATCCGTATTGTTAAGTTATTAATCGATATAGCGCACAACTAATTACATTACTGTCTGTTTACACATGACCTTATATGTTAACAGATCAATAAACAACAACAAATGAAAATGCTGAACATATTTTACCACTTAAATCCGAATCCAATTTGCTGATAATTATTTTAGTGTTATGTGTACTACACATTTGCAGTTGCATCTTGATATTAGACAAGACTCTGGTACAATTGTATGTTCCTAGTTTTGTTATTAAATTAGAAAGTATGTAGATTTATATCAGTAACAAATGAACTAATTCAATAAATCGTTCTTACTAATTCGACGAAAATTCGTTTAATGGTACTCCGGATAGAGTGAAAGGCATTTAACCATATGTCAGTGGTGATCCGGACACATGTGCTCATATGGTATGGCAACTTGAACTGATGTACGTACTTACGAAGTTCTACTTTTTAACTGACTGGCTAGTAATAACAACAGTGATACTTGAATAGAGGCATTTAACTTATGAAAACATGAAGAGGGAGATTATCTTCACACTAGTTAATGTAGACAGAGTCATTAAACGATCAACAGAGACTTCATGACATATGGATCCGACATCTATATTTTGCACAATAAAATGATTACTTTCAGTAAGCTGTGTTTTATAGTTTAAATATGCTGTTGTTGGCTGACTTAAGACCCAGTGCAATATGCACCACTGTCCCACCGACTTATATTCATCTTTTCCTGTCAAGTTTTTAAGGACATCTAGTTGGATTGCAACGTTTATTGTAGTTTTCGTAATTTGGTCGTATCTGACAGTCTCACCGTAAGTGGGACATTTGCGAAAAGTGATAACAGATCTGAGTATAACACGGTATTATTTCTAGCGCTTGAATAGTTGATCGAGATTGCTAATTAAGATAAGTCCTTAACGTACCATCGGATAAAATGGCCCTATCTTCATTTTCGTTTGCATGAATATCAATCAACTCAACCACCACATATCTTGGATGTAGATAGTTACGAAATGTTCCACTATAAAAATCCTGAAATCTTGGACAGCAGAAATGCACAGAAGATAAAAGAATTCTACAGATGCTTGGTACTTGGTTTAATCAGTAATTAATGAACATTTCGAAATTAATCCAACCTACCATCTAATTAGTAGACTCCTAAACAACAATAAGGTCAAGAAATGAGGCAAGCAAAAGAAATACATTGACAATGACGGTACAGTTTTAGTCAAAAACTAATCCAATTTGATTTTATCAAAACAAGCTGCTGGTTGTGCAAGTGAGGATTTTTTAGGTTTGTCAGTGATCGGATAAAGTTTATCCAAATATTGTTTGCTTACTGAAACAATGCATTACTCATGTTGGTTGTAAGCATCAACGAAAAATAATAACAGCAATGCTTGGTCCTCTAATTTTTTGCCACTTTCTTTTTCCTGATGTGTATAATTGTGGAAACGATTCAACAAATTCAGTTACAGTAGTTGTGATTACGTTCTTCAAATTGTAGACGTATTTTGGTGAACTACTTACAAGTAGTGAACTTTATTTCCGGAGATTGTTTTGAGTTATAACCGCTAATCAATAACATGTGTTTTCATTCGTATTTATCATTACTCTTATGTTACTAGGATGGTTGTGATTTTTTAACTTAATTAAGTGGTACTCACTAAATGAATGCTAACTTCTTTAAATTAAATATTGTTGATATACTACGGTCAGCAGTCACTCATTTAACAAAGTTCTGGATCAATAGGATAAGCCATCGTATGCACTTCTTTGAACTCTATGGTATTTACACAAACAAATGAATATTTCTGAATAGTTGACTATGGCAGATAATGAGGAACCGATAACCACCTCTCTTCTCTACTAATCCATTGCTAATAGTAGTTCACTCATGCAAAGTGAAATAAAACTCACTTATCGTTTAATTTTTTTACGCAATCACCCTACTCTTTACTTAGAAATAAAAATTGTTGGTCGTTAAATGAATACTGATATGTGTATAGAAATTAATGTAAGGAAAATAAGTTTGTTATCAATATTTTTAAAATATGAGATACCATTCACAACTGACTTCTACGATTGGTCGATAACAAGTCTAATGAAGGTTACATTGTTGATCGAAAATTTTCAAACGATATTGCTGCAGTAAACTTGTCAATTCCAATAAATCAACTTTAATATTTGTTGGTAATCACTTAATTTTTCACATGTTTGAACAGGAGCTACAATTCAAATGCAGGCGATTTGAACGACATAATCACATGAATATACAAACTTAGTATATTCAGTTCGATTTGAAAATAAATAAATTATTCTCAGGATCCTAACAATTTTTAATATGAACTTCCATAAAGAGTTAGTTGCCTATTTTGATGACAAGAGACGTTTTAAATTCTATAACTGTAAGAATTAAGAATCATTTTGAACATGGAGCTGTCAAAATATGTCTGTCGAATGGAATTATAAATAACTCATTAGTCTGTAACTGAAGATATTATGATTTTAATTAATAATGAATCATCAAAATGGTATTTTATCCAATACATTTATTCTGTGAATTATAATATGTAAAGAGATGATCACTGAGGTAGAATAAGAATTAATTTGGAATGTAGAAGGTTTTTTTTGTAAAACAACATGACGTTTATGAACAAGCAACTGAAGTAATAATCTATCAATAATTCCTAAAATTCTTTTTCAATATACGGTATTGTTATTAACAATACCTTAACAAATGTTCAATGGAAGTTCGAAAAATGTGAATATTCAACAATATGTTCTGACTAATACCAGTATTAATTATAATAATAATCATAAAATTAACCGAATTATGGCATATTATCTGTTTCATTATTAGTTATATCAAATAATAAATACCCAGAGAATGTTGAATACATATAACCATGTAGAAAATATGCTCCATCACGTATGGCTAACCATGCACGATCACCTTTATGCAATTGTAGAATTCCTTGATTTGTGGCTGTTGCCCATGGAGAACTTTCAGACCAAACATCAAATATTTGCTTTTCATTATGCATTAAACGTACCACCGCCTAAATTTTAAATATTCATTGTATTCTTTTAGTAAAAATTATGAATAATAAGCTAATTAATATAAAAGTTGTGTTTTTAATTTCAAACAAATAAATATCACTTATTACATATTTTATATAAGGAAGTCAGCAATTTATTATGACAAAAGTACCCCATAGTGCCACCAAAAAGGAATTAAAAACAATTCGACAATAGCAGTTACTCAAGCTTTACAGTTGTACTGATAGTTAATTGACTATTAAAACAGCCTTGAAAAGTAAGACTAATATATTATTACATGTGTTCAGGTCTTCTAACGCCTCTGTAGTTCATAAGTCATCAGTTTGCAACCCTCCTGGTCCAATTCGCTTAACTGTATGAACTATTTTGCGTAGTTTTTCCAACGGGGTCATATGACCAGAGTTTATGAGATGTCCTGTTAGTGAACTATTAACTACTTAACATTTATTTTCTGAAAGCTACTCTGGATAATGTTTGAAGATGCTTTTGAATAACTCGTGTTGTGTGGCCGAAATAATCTGCTCTGTAGAGACAAATAATCTCATGAACACATATGGATGTGGTCTAATGTGGGACTCTATCTTTGATACCACGAATAATGGAGCGATTCGAACAGACATAGCAACGTTAAAAGCTTTTCTCAACCTCGTTAAACAATTTATTAATCTTCCCTTCCGCGATCTCTCCTGTGAATTCAATATTCATGAAGAGAGTTTTCGTCGGGACTGGTTGTAGTTGATGTTTCATCTCTCTCAGCGAACCCGGATGGATAACCATTTTTTACAAAGACTTGTTGAAGCTTGAATAGTTCCAGGTCTTTTAAAGATTCCCATTGTGAAAATTTGAACAACACATATAAGCGATTAGATCATCATCAGGCTTTGCTCTAAAATACACGAATATTTATATGAAAATGCTAAACCAATTAAGGCATTTTGAGTCAATAATCACAATGAAATGAAATCGATTACGTCACTACACATAAAAGGTAAAAGTGCAAGTTGATAGTAGGAAGACAGATGTTCTGATAGTAGTAAGAAAAATAAAACACAATAACAAAAGTTTCGCCAATAGTTCAGCATTGGAGATAGTCGGTCAGACGTGAATAAATAGACTTAAAATAATCATTACAAAACATTAAAATCATTACATAATAAAAAGTGTGTACATAATTAGATAGTGAACAATTTAAACGGAAAGGCGGAAAATTACAAACAAGCACAGGATATGATAACAAAAGTAAAATAAAAAATTTTAAAACGTTGCTTGTCATATCACCCCTATCACGGAAGGGATAGGGGTGTCACGAATTTCTTCTGAATACATAAAATAGGTTTGGATGTACGAAATCCTATGGCTTCTGCTATATGTAAGAGACGGGATCGAACGCCTTTGGGAAATGATGGAAGTATACGAAAGATCGCTTGAAACGATCCAGATTTATCTACAGCATGACCACTATCAAACGAATGTGCCAAGATTTAACTACGTATTGCCTTTATCGGGCCCTTCCTAAACGATGCTCGGAGATGTTCACTCATTCGTCGGTTAAGTTGCATGGTAGTACCCTCGATATAGCTATCTCCACAGGAGCAGCTGAATTTGTAAATGCACATAGAGGAGGCCTACTCAGGTAACTTATCCTTCGTTTGGGTAGACATCGGTGATCGACCTGTGAAGGTCAACGCAAGTTGGCTGCGTAGAATGTTCTACTAAGTATTTTCGTTAATCTGTCCTGCAGAGTGTCGCTAGTCACATCTCCGTTGAATTGTGGTTTAATAAATAAAGGCTTCTTTCGAACGGCCGAAGTTTCCAACTTCTATTTATACATTAAACATATCCTTCTTTATGAACGCGCTAGGGTAGCCGATTTCGGCCAGTGAGCTGTTGGAAAGTTCCAGCTTCTCAAATAAAGTATCCACTGAATAGACTATTTTTGCTCTGATATTCAGACATCTAACCAAATTTCTTTTGTAGAGGATAGGTGTAAAACTATAAAAGTGAGTGTATTGGCAAGCAGAAGGTCCTTTTCTTTGCACGCTTCCACTTAACAAGTCATCACTTCGCCTGCATATTGTGATAGCAAGGATATTCAGTTTTTTATCACACTCCTCTTCACCAGTGAAAGTGATGGTCAGGTGTACACTTTTGAATTTTTCTAGGAGTTTTGATTTCTTCACGTTTTGACCTGCAATGGTGAATGTGTGACTCAAGTTGCCTTGATTGGTTTAAACTTTTTATATAAACATTCATGTATATTAAAGTAAAGCCTGATGACGATGTAATCGAAAACAATATTGTTCGCTTATATGCGTTGTTCAAAGTCCCACGTCCATTGTATCTTCTGAATATATTCACATGGGTTTTAGTGATAAAGCTTGAATTAGGTTCACATTTTTTTAATGACACCCAACCGGAAAAACTCGTATATTCTGTTTAAGTTGGTTTTTGATATGTTGGTCCTTGCAATGTATAGTCTTCTTTACAATAAGACATCAAGGAAATGAAATTCCGAATTTAATGGGGCGAGAAAAACCCATTTTTCTGAAACTCCTTAGTTCAAGTTCCATTTTTACTACCGAAATCAGTATCCTTCATTTTATAACCAGACATAGACCGTAATGAGAAAAATTGACAATCCTGATAACTATCAAGTCACACAACAGAATGGCTGATCATACCAGTCTAATAAGTCATCAGAGAAAGATTACTAAACAGGAAAATTGGGCCTAACCAATTGAACAATGATGTGATCACCTGTAACTAGTCAAGTTATGTAATAAGCCTACAGTAATTTTCATTCCATATAAAAAGAGTTAAAATAGACTACTTTATTTTCATCTTAGTGAAACAATTTCTATGAACCATGTTTATGTTTAAATTTTTCTGGAATATATTTATAAACGACTGAAGTCATTGTCACTACCACTACTACAGCTAACATCACTAATGCTTATAACAAAAACACAGTCGTAATGTTTTGTATGTTCTCATCAAGGAAAACTATGGTACATTTTTTCTTCCATTATTCTGACCACCGACAATAAAATCCGATTGGACGAGTAAAATCATTTTCGTTTCCCTAATTTTTTTAATTGTAAAATAATAATCCGTTGTAAAAATTATAACTTTTCAATAGTCATAAACAAGTTATATTAAATATAGTCATTTCAAATAGTGGTGCTGGTTACAGTTTTAGAAGAGAAAGAAGAAGTAAAGGGTATAATTATACGTCACTATTCTATTCACAACAAATTTGTTTTCATATTCAATAAACCGTGGTTATTTTTTTTCATAATAAACTATTATACTTTATTTGGTTTTATTTTTAAACTGAGTAAATTTTTGGTTAGGATTTTGGTTGGGTTTTTTTTTATGAAAAAGTGTCAAAACAAGTTTTTTGGATGACACCTGGAAAAAATGGTTAGACGTCAATCTACATTCTTCAGTTCATATGCTGATGTTTACCCGTTCTCTAAAGTAGCCTATACTACCTCAAGAATATAAATTTTCGTTATTCAGAATAACGATTTGAATCACTACAGTATTTCAATCATAATTAACGTGTTATAACAACAAAAATCAACTCTGATAATCGATCCTTCAAAATTGATCATTTTTATGAGTAGTTCTTGTTGCCGCATATTTATTGGTCAATGAACTAGACACTTTTAAAACAACTAAATAAAAAATCAGTGATACATTATTCACTTACTCTTGATTTGCCTTGAGCTGAAATAGCTAGAAATAAAATGTAAATACCATTTACTGGTGCAATGAATTCTCCGGTTACTGGATTGTATGCATTACCCAAATTCGTGATAACTTTATTCATTATTAATTTAGGATTTTCACCCAATGGTTTTTCAATGACGTTAAATTCAAGACCGACAAAAAATGCAATTCTATTTTGTACTGATTGTAGTTGAGTATTTAATTTACTTAGCTGTAATCTAGTTAGGTCGATATCTGTAGATAAGAAGAAAATGATTGAAGAACAAGAATAATAGAACAGTGTTATCAATAAGTCGATTATCACATTCGATTCTCTATATAGAATCGGAATTTTACATTTAAGCAAAAGTTATTTCAGCTGTGGCTACTTGGAACAAAGTAACTTTTCGCTTAAAACAATATAAGATGTAAACAAGTGGTAAAATGTTTATATTATCTTAGAAAATAGTTACAATTTTATTGATACATCATCCATAGTTAATAAAGTAGCTCACTGTGATGTTTTAGATGTCGATACACGTTTTTCAAAACTAAACATTTTGCTAGATATGACACTATTCGTTAAAACACGTGCCACCAAATGATGCCTGAATAACTGAGGCGTATATTTACTATAACATACGACGAATCGTTTTAGAAATGGTACTTCACTTCTAATATCAGTTTCTATTGGGATAAATATAGACTTGGTTTTTGTTCATGACCTAGTTTTCATTAGTAATGTAAAGTTAAATATTCAAAAGTGACACAGTGAACAAAATACTGTATTTGATAGATGACTCAATTTTCGTTCACATGCTGTTTCGTGACTTTAGATAGTGGGCTGTTTTACGGTCTACTTGTAACGATCAACTGTGTCGGGTGGGTGGTAATTACCTACCAAAGTCAGTGGACAGTAAACATTAGCACCTTTGAATGCCGTCACAGTAATCTAGAGGTTAGGCATTCATGAGCGAGATAGAAGGTCCTGGGTTTCATATCGTTTTATTGTTTTCTTGTAGTCAAAACGTATCACGGAAAGGCTGAAGACTCTTAACTAAGTTTGAGAATTCTAAACAATACGAGATTAATTTCACATTTACATTTTACTTTTGAGTTATGAACATTAATGAACAACCTTCTCATTATTTATATAATTATGCACAGGTTAAAATCAAAGTACTTGAACAGTATTATTAATAGATAAAATATTTGGCAGTCTAATACCTTATTAATATCATTATTACTAAAAATGTTTCTAAATAAATAGCTCTCTATAATTTTTGACCAGGTTTAATAACTCCCTTTTATGAAAGAAAATTCCTACATACGTTTCTTTTGAATTTCAATACCAAAAATAAAACCTCTTTTTTCTTGAGGTTTTATTTTGTACGATATGAGTTCAACCCTATATTTTAAAGAACAATATTTACTTCTAAAGTAGACTTTGTGGTTTATTCTTATTTAATAATTTGTTAAACATCTTCAGGTCAAACATGCTCAAATAGTAGAAGAATTAAATAGATGATATTTAAAAGCTTAATACATTTTCCAGTCTTTAATAAAATATTCTATTTGATAATATGATAAAGTTTTACTTATTCTATCATAAGAATTTGAAGAATATATCCAAAAAGTGTGAGTATTTACTAGTTTTTAATTAATTCCTGACGAAACATATCTAAAAAAATATTTAAGGTTAAGTTTTAAATCGTGTTAGAGGCTTAGCATAAACGAATTTTCAAATTCCGTTGCCGTTGATTATTCCAGAGTCATTCCAAGATACTTATGATGATCACTTTGAAACATAGTATTCTACCTACTGTTTGTGAGGTAGTTATTCTCCCAAAATCTTAACTATATTCATAGAATACTAAACATTTTGTAAAATAATTAGTGGTATTTGATAGTAGATAACTTTGACATCAAGTTCTACAGTTCTAAGTTCACAATTATTGCTATTTTATAAAGGTCAAAATCGTGTATGCATTAATGAATTAGACAGTGATATATGTTTTAAAAAAGAACGGCTATCCACGAACCTTCATCAAAAAACATCAACCGAAATCGTCAACATAGGCGAAATCAAATACAGGAACCAATAAATAGATCATTCTACCATACATAAAAGACATATCAGAACATACACCGCGACTACTGGGATCATTTGGAATAGGTGTTGCACACAAACCAACAGAATCACTTCAATCAATCCTATGTAGAGACCAAAGAACAAAATGACAAAGGAAGAAAGACCAATTGTCATCTACAAAATAAGTAGCTCAGACTATGAACAACACTACATAGGGCAAAGTGGACGGCCTCTTCAGCTTCGTTTACGTGAACACCAATTAGCAGTCAAATTCCACGACAATTCTTTGCTTATATCTATTCGTACGGACAATTATGGACATACATTCGATTGGAGCAATGTGGAATTACTGGGTTGGGGGTGCAAAAAGAATACTAGAGAATTTTTAGAGGCTTGGTACCCAAATCAATCAGCAATCGACATTGACCTAATTTATCAACCTATCAGAAAAATCATAGGCGACATGGGATCACGAAACAGATCAAAAGGGGGATACAATCAAAACAAAGGTGCGAACAATGGCAGGTTTAGGGTCAACAGCAACTAATCAACATCAAGGTTAACAGAACAAGCTGCGGGTCAAACGTGGAGAAATCAAAATATTTCAATTCCATCTGAAGTTTGTGCTGATGATGTTGTTCAGAAGAACTATTAATGCTGCACAACCAAAACATCCAGCTTAGAGAACGAAACACGATCATAAATTTGCGAAACTTTATGACTATTACGGTACAAATACTTTAAGACTGTATAATATGTCAACTGGAATCAAACTATCATGTTCTGAGGATAATGTAGATAGTGAAATAGTGAAATAAGCTAAAGAAAACATTATGAAATAATGACTACCCTAATAATTTTGTCAGGGAATCTTTGTTGTGTATTTATCACTGTTATGCTAGTACCACTGATGACTTATGCTACATTTCCGATTAATCATTTGTTGAGGAGAAGTTATTTAAATTAATAATTTTTTCGAACATTTCTACCAGAATGAAAAAATAGAACAAACTCTGAGAATGTCAGCAAGAAAACTGTCTACCTAAAACTCAATTTTAAGAGGAATTTATGATATGATGTTTTTAACACGACAACTCAAGAGTTCTGTTAAAAGGACATTTCACGCCACCAAGTTGTATATAATCTTCTCAACCAAACTAGTACTCACACAACGCATCAAGGATGAGTTATAAATGATAGGCTGCTTCATGTGTGTCCACCAATCCTACTGTTCCTGTGGATCAACTTGCACAGGTTGTACTGAGAGGGCTTTATTTTTGCATGCTCGTGAACATATGCTAGCATGGTTGGAGAAAGGAGTCTCGAAGTTTATTATCAGCGCCATCCTTTTTCACTTGGTAGATGGTGAACAGCATATTCAAATAAATGAAGCTTTCTCTGCTCTATATCAAGTTCCGAATAATCTACCCAAAAGTACTAGATTACGAATCCTGGACATAGCCGAAGCCATTTAAACCGACTCCAGACAACCTAATCTATATATCCGAAAAAGCTATTTTCAATCTCTGTGTTCACCTTTATCCACGACAGGCTCACAAGGGACTTAAACTGGATATTGTAAATCTCTTATCCCGTTTCTTACTTCTCTTTGTGTTGATCTATATGTTTATTAATCCACTCACTCATCTTTCCCTGTTCACAAAAATGTTTCATCCTAATTAACCTGATCACACCACTCATATTACTTAGTAAATTCACACAGCGTTGTTTTTATTATCTCTCAATATGAAATTGTCTTACTATTCCTTTTATGCATACAATTTACTATACTTGATTAGTACAACTATATTGATCACAACTTGACACCTTACCTTGAATCTCTCTGACTCTTCTTATTTACATAAAACACAATTTCAAAGTCGTAAAGTTTCACCATTTTTTTAAACATATAACATTGTCTAATTCATTGATTGATGCATGCGTGATTTCAGCCTTTGTAAAATAACAATAATTATGGACTTATAACTGTAGAGCTTCATGTCAAAGTTATCGAAAACAGAAGATAACTTCCGTTGAACAATTAGTTGATAGGACACTGTAGATGAATTTATTATATCAAATGAAAAAGAGATGGTATTAATTGGAAGGTTGATCAATCAGGAAATAAGTGAACAACAGGAAAATTGTAAAATGAATGTACTTGTTTTCTTCCAACTTAAATGACATATATATACACTGAACAAAGAAATTGTCCTTAAATCATAGCTAATTACCCATCCCTAATAGTTGTTTTACTTTTTCAAATTTCTATTCACTATATATAGTATAAAAGAAAACAATGAATTTATTTAGACAAAAGTAAATTTTTTAATATACTTGCTTCTCTCTTCTCTTTTTTTAGCTCATTTAAATAAAATTTACTAATTTCGTTAAATGGATTTTTCATGTTTACGATGAGCTTGATAGAAAAAGGAAAGAGTGTTAACAATTAGGCTAGAATAATGGTTTTAAAATGTTAGCGAATTCAACAATAAACAAAAACTAAATTATCTATAATAGATTTTATTGTATTAAATATCCTATCCATTTTGAGAAAGTTCAATAATAAACTGAAATTAGTTCATACTAACGGGAAGATGATAAGTTAGTTAAAATGTATAACAAATCAGAGAATAAAGTTTACGTATTCTATGATATACTAGTACAATAATAAAATTTCAAAACAACCAACTCAGTCATTAACTATCAAGTCTCGCTGAATTGATTTTGCAGTTTTTTATTGATTATTATGTTTTATTTTAAACTCAATGGTTAACAGTCGTCCATAATTGATGCTTAAATTATTCTCATACTATAAACCTTTAAAACTCTATGCAATTTTCACCATCTGTAATACCCTGAGTAATTTACAGCAACACTTTGTAAAATGTTTATTTGGTTAGGGTTAGGGTTCAATACAACCCATAGAATGTTCATCGAGTTCTGAGAGTTAGTGAGCAGAGTCCACATATCCACATTTTGTTAAGAATAAGCATTTAGCTACACTGAAATCCAAGTTAAAATGTTAATAAATTGACGGACACCAGAATTTTTCATCTATCGTCAACTTACTAATCGACAAATCGATATCACGAAATATAAATCCGAATCATTGTTTACTAGCAATTAATTGCAATCTAGGAACATCATGAATGGCTGATTG